CCTGTGAAGTGGCGAAGAATGCCGGCGGAATTTTTGGCCCCTGGGGGGGTGGCCAGAGCCCCAGTGCAGTGGAGTTGGACCCCCAAGCCCTCAGGCCGAAGAGTAATATCGGGGCCCTAAGTATTGACCAATACAAAATTGTAGTATAATGTACCCCAAAACTATTTCAAGTATAAGGCCCCTACATTACCCAAAGCTCCGGTTAATGGTTTCTATAGGGCTGGGTGTAGATTCGAAAGGTTGGGGTTTACGAGCTTCAGCTTGGGCGGCGGATGTGTGGATGAGCTCCTTGATCCCATTGCATGTTGAGAGATAGACCTAGACCCAGGCCACAGCTATAGTCGGCACATTCAGTGTCTCCTGCTCAGGACTTTTGGTAATATCTGTTTTTCTGTGCATGCCATGCCTACTTCGAGTCTGATGAGTATCAGTATCATCGAGTTATCGCAGGTGTGTTCCCACTTCTGTGGGAGATTCCGTGTGACGAGCACCTGCTGATGATTTCCCACTTCTTATTTTCATGCCCTTTTCTCTGCGCATGAGTTCATCGTGGGACTGTCCGCTGCTACCATCGTCAGCATCAGCACCCAGCATGCACCAGCACCCGCACACACTACCAGAACCACACCAATACCATCCAATACCACACTGCTGCCACCCCCGCCACCATGGTTGTCACAGCTGGTGCAGGCTAGCGAAAGCACCACCTGTACTACCACGCAATCAACATGTTATCACAACTAGTTCACAGCCATCACCTCATTTTACCACCATTTTATGCCTCCGTGAAGTGACCGTGCAACCACCAACTGCCGCAACCAGCCCAACCACCACCGCCACCCGACCCAGGCATCAACACCATGCGCCACCACAGTGGCAAATGTTCCTCTGCCTTCCAACACTCGGTCAATGCCACAGCTCACCACACTCCAAAGCCTTACATGTTCTTGAAACCGTAAACCCCTGAGCCCTGAGCCCAAGGCTTTTTAGGGCCGGATTTGGTGTCTAGTGTCTAGGTTATCTTTGAAAGGTGACGGCTCCAACGCACCGGAGAACATGATGTACGCAGATTGGAACGATTGCATGCAAGGACTTGAGCAATGAACAGCCCGGCAAATCGCCGATTGGTTTGGGTCGATGTTTCTGAGACTGTTCGACCGTTTGCCAGTTTTTGGGGCATATGTACGTTTTCAAGATCACTTTCGATTTTAGCTTGTAGGGCTGGGCACAGTTCAGAGATGGTGATGCACTGTGCCACCGGGAGTGAAAAGGAGAAGTCCACAACCGGAGGAGCGGACACTGTAGCTTTTCTCAAGTAAGAGACTGCGTGAAAGAAGGCGCCGGAAATCATTAGCTTGTTGTGCAGTGACGGTTTAGGGTTTAGGGTTTGGGGTTTAGGGAGTGTTACCTGCCGAAAGCGAGGGTTTTGGGGCCCATCAGACTCCAATTCTGATAAGGAACCCCCCAAAATAGTGTAGGTAATTATTTAGGCCCAATATTAGAGCTTCAGGGCTCCAAGAAGTAGGGCTTCCGAAGGGTCGAGGTCGATCTTAACTCAAAGAGCTCCCCTGAACTACAACCCTTTTGTAGGGGATGGGCTTAGGGTTTTTGGGTTTAGGGTTTAGGGTTTAGGGTTTAGGGTTGGTGGGTTCAGGGTTTAGGGTTGTTGGGTTTACGGTTTAGGGTGAAGTGGGAACGGGCATGCAGTGAAGGAGATCAGGAGCCGCCTCAGCGCTTCATCGTGCTATTCTAATTACTAAGGCTCCTATATTTAGAGTGTCCTAAACCCTAAACCCTA